AAGATCATAGATCTGAAAGAATAAACACTTAGGACTTCTACTTCCCCAACAACCACCCATCCATGGCTAAAAGCATATAACCCAAGAAGAGATCTAAGCAAATATTAAGCAAGGTTAGAACTTTATACCCGAAATATGCTGGAAATGGAGCAGAGAATCAAGATCTGAAAGCTCCTACTTGAACCACCAGCATGCACCAAGCTTCTCTTCCTCCAATGAGCTTCAAACACACCAAAACACACCCACAATGAGCTCACAACACTCAAGGAGGCTCTAGGGTTTTGAGATTTGGGTTAGGGGCTATGGAGGCTGGGAATGAGGCCAACACCTGGGACTTAAGGTGTTTAAATAGGGTGCAAATCCTTAAAATTAGGGTTTCTCAATCAGTGTCCAACTCGTCGAGTTCCCTTCACCAACTCGCCGAGTTTGTTCATAAAAACGCACGACCCAAAGGCCTCCAACACGTCGAGTTTCCCACCATCAACTCGACGAATTGGTCCTTAGAATATAGGATTTATTTCACAATTAAGCTTCTAGATTCCGGGTGTTACAACTTGAGTGTAAAATCGAATAACAAAACAACATAAGAAAGAGAAAAACCAAATGACCAAAATTCATCTACATTGTAGTTTTTGTAACTACAAGTGGAGAGGATTCATCAACATTGTAGTTTTTGTAACTACATTGTAATTTTTGTAACCATTTCGCATTATTGGACCAAGAAAATCTCAAGAGAAAAGAATGTGACCCATGTACCAAAATAAATCGTTAAGCATTTATATATTGGAATAAAATAATTGGTAGATTCAAATAGCTTTTTAAAATTTTATAGTCAAATTATTTTATCATCATAATAGAATTAAATTGGAAAGGTAAGCATCTCCATTGAGGGATTACAAAGCAAAGCATGTTGGTTTGGTGCATAATGTGGGCAAGGGATAGATACTCTTTAAGCAAAAGTTACTTACCCACGTCACGCCTATTTTTTTTTCTTTATGATTCGTAGTTTTATATTTTCTCTACATATGTTTTTAAATTTTTCTATATATTAATTTTTTTAGGTTATTGAGACACTTTAGTTCTTTTATAATATTATTTGTAACTTACTAAGACGTTACAATACACTTTAGAAAAGTACTTTGAATATATACAACCAATGATCGTTTATGCAACAAATGATTTAAATTGTTTATAATTTATTTGATAAATTGGTATTTAAACGAATCGAGCAATCTTATTTCATTTTTAAGAGTAAAATATGTAACATTTTACATGTACATGCACAATCGGTCCATAAGGAGGCAAACCTCAGAAACCATCCAAGGCCCAACTGGTTTGTTGTCCCAAATTAATGTCGACTATTTACAGGAGTTCATCAGCTTCATAAAATTATTGAAGCATAAAAAAACCAATGCATCGATGGCGACAATTTCCTCAATATATAAAAGCTCGTAAGTTTGTGTGATCAAAATTTAGCTCAGCGGTATCCGGTGTTGCTCTCCCTTTTTGAGGTCGAGGGTTCAAGTCTCACTGTGGACATAAGTGAAATAATTTAAGAATAGATTAGTATTTGCCAATTTCATTAAAAAAAATCTAATGTGGTGAGAGATATTCTTGGAAAGAAGCAAAGTATAAACATTAAAGTAATGTTTGGAAAAATAGAACGCGATCTTATGGGAACGGGATCGTATGGGTTCTGCTTCAATTCATATATATTACTCTTAATACAAAATCTAACCCTTATTATACTTTAACCACGAATAGACACTTTAGTTCTTTTATAATATATCACGCTTAACAAATCCGTCTTTATATTTTCGTAGCGGCTACACCACGAATCGCGTCATGACATGTCTTGAGGCACGCCGTTTTTTATTAGAACATGAATAAAATAGACATTGTATGCCATTATTCTCTATTTCAATATTTTTATTAGATAATATCATATATTCTATCTAAATAATTATTTTATTGTATAGATAGAGAAAATTATGCAACCTGGTTGGTTGAATGAATAAAACATTTGTCCCATCTTTAAAAAATTATATAAAATTAAAAATAGAAATATTATTAAAAAAATAGAGGTCATAACCGAATAAAACAGCAAATCCATCGACGGCAGGGCATAATTGCCACTGTTTCACTTTCCAGTCCAAGAACCCCACTGTCTTCTCTCACTTCCACACCCTCTCTGTGAGATCACAACAAGTAGATTCGCATTTCGCCTTCTTCATTTTCGGATATTGGTACTCATCCTTGTGAACCCACGATCCAAACCAAAATTCAAAACTGAATACAGATTAGAAACTTAGAATCGCGAGAATGTACGGGAGGGATCCATGGGGTGGACCATTAGAAATAAACACCACTGACTCAGCGACGGACGATGATGGCAGCAGGAACTTGAACGACTTCGACAGAGCGGCGTTATCGCGGCCGTTGGATGAGACGCAACAGAGCTGGCTGTTAGGTCCCGGAGAAGAGAAGAAAAAGAAGTACGTTGATCTTGGTTGCATCAGTGTCAGCCGTAAGATCTTCGTTTGGACGGTTGGATTGATATTCGCAGCTGGTTTCATTGCTGGGTTTATTGTATTGATCGTTAAAACTGTTCCTAGGCATCACAAACACCCCCCACCTGCAGATAATTACACTGTTGCGCTTCAAAAAGCTCTCATGTTCTTCAATGCCCAAAAATGTTAGTCCACTTTCTAATTTAATCGGATCTATTGATTTCCCGTTTTCTCTTTTCTTATTTTGTTTGATCATTTTTGAACTTCTTATGTGTTTGTCTGTACTCTGTATCAATATTGATATGCCTAAGGACTCGATGTCATTCACTCAAGCCATAACAAGCAAATCAATGAAAATACGCTGCTAATTTTTGCATCTAATCTGCTAATAAAATGATATCCATGCAGCTGGAAGACTCCCCAAGCACAATAACGTGTCATGGAGGGGTAACTCCTGTCTAAATGATGGAAAATCAGACAAATCAGGGGCAGTGCTAAAAGATCTAGTGGGTGGATATTATGATGCTGGAGATGCTATAAAGTTCCATTTCCCTCAAGCTTTTGCCATGACCATGTTGAGTTGGAGTGTGATCGAATACAGTGCTAAATACGAAGCTGCAGGAGAGCTCAACCATGTTAAAGAGATCATTAAATGGGGCACCGATTACTTTCTGAAAACCTTCAATTCTACAGCCGATACCATAAACCAACTAGTAGCTCAGGTAATTACTCGTTTCCCTGACTTTCTCTATTAAGTCGTTCTTTCTGTATTAAGTCAAAAAGAAACAGGTGGGGACTGGTGATACGTCTGGTGGGACAAACGATCCGAATGATCATACTTGTTGGATGCGACCCGAGGACATTGATTACCCTCGCCCAGTGACCGAATGCTCTAGCTGCTCTGATCTTGCTGCAGAAATGGCTGCTGCTTTAGCTTCAGCTTCCATTGTTTTCAAGGACAATAAGGTGTATTCAAAGAAACTGGTGCATGGGGCTGCAACTCTTTGGAAGTTTGCTAGGGATCAGAGGGGTATGTACAGTGGTGGTGGTGCAGATGCTGCAAACTTTTATAATTCGAGTATGTATTGGGATGAGTTTGTTTGGGGAGGGGCGTGGATGTATTATGCAACGGGTAATCAGTCTTATCTTTACCTTTCTACTCACCCTACACTCGCTAAGCATGCTGGTGCTTTCTGGGGTGGTCCCGATTATGGTGTTCTTAGCTGGGATAATAAGCTTACAGGAGCTCAAGTAAGTTAATCAACTAACTCTCTACTTATTTTGTTATAACCATATTATGATATTAATCAATCTTATTCTTTTGTACTAGGTATTACTGACTAGATTGAGATTGTTTCTGAGCCCTGGTTATCCCTATGAAGAAACATTGAAGACGTTTCACAACCAAACAAGCATAATCATGTGTTCATACCTTCCATACTTCAATAGTTTTAACAGAACAAGAGGTAAAATAAATTAATAAATAAAAATCCTCTTCCCCTTTTTGGGTGAATAGGTTTTTTTATAACTGATTGGGTCAGCCACCTAATAGACCACTAATAGACCACTGTATACTTGATTTACATATTGTGTGATGTTCACAGGACAATGACTGTGTAGGTCAGCTCAGGGTTGCTAAAAATAAATAAATAAATAAAAATTGGAGAAATAATGGGATTCGTCTTCAATTGCAGGAGGGTTGATCCAATTAAACCATGGGAGACCGCAGCCTCTTCAGTATGTTGTGAATGCAGCTTTTTTAGCGACACTTTATAGCGACTATCTTGATGCAGCCGATACTCCGGGGTGGTATTGTGGGCCCAATTTCTACTCAACCAACGACTTACGTAAATTTGCACAAACTCAGGTAGAATCCAGCTCTCCTCTCTTTATGCATGGCATTTTTGTAAATTTTATAACTTGTTCCAATTTTCATATTGTAGATTGATTATATACTTGGGAAGAATCCAAGAAAGATGAGTTATGTTGTGGGGTTTGGCAATCACAACCCGAAGCACGTGCACCACAGAGGTGCATCAATCCCGAAGAATAAGGTGAAGTATAACTGTAAAGGAGGGTATAAATGGAGGGACTCTAAAAAACCGAATCCACATACGATAATAGGGGCAATGGTTGCAGGGCCAGATAAATATGATGGTTTCCATGATGTGCGTACAAACTACAATTTCACAGAGCCAACTATTGCTGGAAATGCTGGTTTAGTGGCGGCTCTCGTGGCCCTTTCCGGTGAAAGAACAACCAAGATTGATAAAAACACCATTTTTTCAGCGGTGCCACCTATGTTTCCGACTCCACCACCGCCACCGGCTCCCTGGAAACCTTGAGATTTTGCATCAGTTGTATGATTTTTTTGCGAATGATGTCACACATCAACAATTATTAGTTAACAGTTATAAAGGAGTCATAGTGATATGAGATGGAAATTCATTTGTTAATCGATATATAGGAAGATATAGCATATAGTTTCATGCCAAATTACAAGAAGAAATAACAATCCATATCACATGATGTATTTTAAGACGAAGAAATCATGATATCAAAAATGCAGCTAAAGCTTCTGCTACCTACTAAAGCTATCTAAAGACCTTACATTCTTTTTTTTTTTTTCATTTCATTTCTATTCAACTATTTGTCTGAAGAAGCCTGGCAGGTGGCAGCCTCTAAAACAAACCTATGAACGTGTAGACTCTAAATAGGAAGACTAGTAGTCTCTCTTCTTGGGACATTCTGATGCCCTGTGCCCAGATTGTCCACAGTTGAAACATGCTCCATCAAAGTTCCTACTATTTCAAACAAAAAAATATATTATTATTATTAGTATTTCATGAAGTATATATGGTTTTACTGTTATATATTGCTTCTAAAAATCCAATTTGAATAACATACAAAGCTACCCATTTATATCAAAATGCAACTTTAGTACCTGTCCCTAGTCCGAGAACCACTTCTTGCCCCAAAAGATGAAGTGCTTGAAGATCGTCTTTCACCAATTAGCCAGTCACTTCCACCACCACCTCCACCGGTTCTTGATCCGCCTCCGCCTCCGCCTCTAGACCAACTACTGCCACCGCCACTCCTGCCGCCTCGTCTGTAGCTATCCCCTTCGCCATCTGATGAGTATCGACTGCTACCACCCCAACCACCACGAGAACCACCAGCACCTCCCCTTCGTGACCCTCCTCCTCGTGAGCTTCTCTCTCTGTTAGAAAATCTACCATAAAAGTCACCTGCTGGACCATCATCTTGTAATACAGGCAACTGAAACAAGTACACAAATACCATTTCAGTAACTCAATAAAACTCTAGAATTCTATATCTACAAAACCAAACTGACTTCACCTTTGTAATTTTTATAATCGTATTGCCAGGTGGCACATCCTTAGTTAGTAGCTCTTTAGCAATCTCTTCCGGAAGATCAAAAACTGCACCCTGAACCTGATAACACAAATAGATGTTACAAAATAAGGTTAGCTTTCTAGAGCTATTACCGATAAGGAAGGCATTTATGTCTTTTGCACAGACAAGAGATCAAAACAAAAAGTTGCAATTTTTATCCTATTGACATCAGTAATGCAGTATAACATTAGCTAGCTTGAGTACACACCCTTTCATCTGCAATTATATGAATTTTTCCCAGTTCATCAGCAGCAGTTGAATAAACATCAGCCAAGAATCCAGTAACTGTTCTAGCCGACATAAACCCTCTCGATAAAGTAGGATCCCGTGTCAGTTGCAATGTAGTCCATCCCTGCAATGCAATCAAAATGAAGATACAGATACAGATACAGATACAGATATAGATATAGATACAGATACCCTCATACTAAAGAATTTAGAAATGTTAATATAATTCACCTGTTCATGTGTGATAAGAGAACGGGATGATGGAGGCTTTGAAAAGCCACTCAACTGTGCAAGGGCAGCAGCAAGAGCACTTGCACCCTGCTCCTCAATTAGCTTTTCAGCAGTTGGAGTGAAAAACTCTATAGACTCCCGATGAACACCAGCCAGGGTGGCAACAACTTGCTGAGCAGAAGACTCCAATACATCTTCGACAGCTGGCGGACTTACAAACTCAAAATGGCATCCCACATCACGCTCAAGAGATTTAACTGTTCTCCTCTGACTATTTGTGAACATCAAAATGGCATTCCCTACCTTCCCTGCACGCCCTGTTCTACCAGAACGATGCACAAATGTCTCTGGATCATTTGGTAGTTCATAATGAATAACCTAAAAAAAAAGAAAAAAAATATCAGTAATGTCATGTACTACCTAACAAATGGGGCTTAAAAAAAATTAGTAGAAAGCCCAATCCAATAGTTGGAACTTACTAAATCAACATTGGGAATATCAAGCCCACGAGAAGCAACATCAGTAGCAACAAGCACAGTAAACTTTCCCTGTCTGAAATTATTAAGTGTTCTTTCTCTTTGATGTTGAGATATGTCACCATGTAATGCCTCTGAAGTTATACTATTGGTTAATGCCAATGAGACCTCATCTGCATCCCTTTTTGTCTGAGTAAAGACAATGGTCTTCCCACCCTTTGCGTATACCTAACCTCATCACAACATAGTAAGAGTTCAGTTCACAAAACAATTCAAAATTTTGATCTAAACAAGATCCAATAAGTCTCATACCGTTACAAGATCACCAAGTATTGTCCGCTTTGAAGTTGATGTTGTTGGTATAGCATACAGCTTGATTCCCTCTGCTAGCTTTTCATCTTGATCACCAACCTTTTAGGATCAATGAGAAGAAACATGACACATTACAAGACTAGCCAATAAGCTATAATATATTTAGTTATATACCACAAGAACAAGAAACTTACCAAATCAATTGTCATGGGATTGTTAAGATATTTCCTAGAGAGTTTCTTGACCCAACCAGGCATAGTTGCTGAAAAAAGCATGCTTTGCCTCTGTGATGGAAGTTTTTCCAAGATATGTTCTACATCTTCCTCAAAACCAACAGCAAGCATTTGATCAGCTTCATCAAGAACCAAGAACTGAACCTCCCCCAATTTTAGGGTGTTACTGTCAATAAGATCAATAAGTCTTCCTGGTGTTCCAACCACCACATCAACTCCACGAGACAATGCATTTTGCTGTGAATTATATGAGACACCACCATAGACACAAACAGTGCTCAAATATGGAGCAGACTCTTTGATCTCTGATTCTACTTGCCTTGCCAATTCCCTGGTAGGTGCAAGGACCAAGACTCTGGGAAGACGTTGACCACGCCTTTACATAAAAGATATAAGAAACCAGTTAGATACAACATATTATCTGACTTACCAAGTACTGAGTGTTAAATAATCAAGAGTTTTCATGGGTACCTAGGAGAAATCCTTTCTTCATCGTCTTCTGTAAGTCTTTTGATTATTGGAATTCCAAATGCTAATGTCTTCCCAGTTCCAGTTTTGGCTCGAGCAATGATATCTCTACCTTCTAGTGCAGGGACCAATACAGCTCTCTACATAATTCAAACAAATACAAGTTACAAACTTGCTTAAATAAAAAGTCACATGAAACCAAGTACAAGCACCAAAGAGAAATTACACTGAAACATATAGAGATAAGCAGTAGAGATAGAGTGAGGTGTATGTAACTTTTGGATAAACATGTTTAGAAGTGGAGAAATGGATAACGTACTTGGATAGGGAACAGCCTAGTAATTTCTCGTTTTTCAAGAGACTGAACCAGCCTTTGGGGCAAACCCAATTTGGTAATTGAAAGTTCGTCATCATCAGCAACATTTCCAGCATCAACTATTGATGCTTCACTTTCAGACTCATCACTATACTCTCTGTCGCTATCGTCCAAAGAGCTATCTTCATCGAACACACCAAAACCCTTAAACGCGTTCTCGCTCAAAACAGAATTGGGGGCGGCAGTCGCCGACGTAACAAAAGCAGAACCACCACCGACACCTGCGCTGTTAGGTTTGAGTCTAGAGGTGACTTTCAAGGAAGTGAAGTGGGTTTTATCGGCAGAACGAGGAAGGTGCACGGGAGCGGCAGGGGCGGCGATTTTTCTAGAGAGTTGTTCTAGTGATGGGTTTTTGTGGTATACGGATACGCCTATGATGGAAGAAGAACACGCCATGAGTTTGATGGTAGTGACGGAACCGAGTGAGGAGGAAGGGGAAGAAGATGGGGGGATAAGGTGAGAGGTTTATGGAGATGAATGGTCCTAGAGACCACCTTGTTGGCTATAACTAAAACCTCAACTCCTTTTATACCTTCAAATTTTTGTTTCTATATTTCTCCCCGATATTTTCCTTGATAAAATTTCACAAGGTTTAGCAAAGGGTTATTCATATACTGAATAGGGATCCAAGCCCATAAAAGATACGAGAAACCCATGAAAACCTTGAAGTTCATCTCGTTAATCTGATCTTGTCGTTTTTTTAACAAAAATTGTTCGACTACTACTCACCGTCATTTTTATTCGCGAGGTTTTATTACTTTTATCTTTCCGTGCATTAAAGACATCCTTATAATGAAGCATCACTAAAGACTCACGGACCGTATTAGTTACTTACGAGTGTCAACAGATGCTATGTTTCAATTCTCGATTCTAGTATTGAACGAAAGGTTATACCTATAGGTTTGTTATTACAGGTCAAACCTACTGCACTAGACCAATAGGCAGCAGAGCACTGAGCACTACATCTAGCAATCAACAACACGAAAACTTTGTAATAAATTATTCTTTTCTTTAACAGGATTGAGATTAAAAGAATGGTTGGGACAATAAACATACATCCCGTTTGTATTTTTGGATACATGTATAACCATCGAAGGTTGTTGAAGTTATCATTTCTCTCTTTTGAAACTATCTTAAAACACAAACAAGATGGAAGAGGAGTGGAGATAATACTATGATACTAATATATAAGAACAAAGAAGATGCCCAAAGTTTTGCAGTAACTATAGATATATTAATCTATTTAGTCATAACATGAAACTATTAAAGAATAACCATTTATATATATATATATATATATATATATATATATATATATATATATATATATATGTTTTTTTTGTACAATCACAGTTACTATATGTATAATATTTTGATGAGGATAGTCATATCAAACATGATTAGGGTGAAAGAGAATAAAGAGAGGCAACTTAAACAAATAGATATCGTTTTCAAGAGGCGGATTGTAATTTTGTTGGAGCTTTTTATTAAATGTTACTTGAAGTATCTTTTGATATTGAAGATTTTTGCTTAAAGTGGAAGCTTTAAGTTATACTCATGAACGAAGTTTTTCATTTAATTAGATTTTTTTTTCTTAAAATCTATAGCTAAAAACTCGTTATTGAAGACACACAAGCCATAAAACTCTAACAAACTGGTTATGATGGGTGATATAGAATTTTTTTACTAATTTGGCACTTGACTTGTTGATTTTTGCAAACATGATATTTGGAGTGGTCAATTCATGTTTATTCGAGTCTTCAACATGAGGTTTTATGATTATGGGATTTCCACCTATGGTTTTCTTCTTGAGGGTGTTATTCTTATTGTAACGCCCTGTTCCGAATCGCTCTCCTAATTCGGGACTGTGGCCTGAAGATGGGTTATCATAAGGCTTAGGGCTTTTGGAAAAGAGAGATCTAGACCCATTTAGGAACGGACGATGTATTTGAGGTGATATGGGGGTTTGGGTTGTGCCTTGGAGCCAAGGGGTATATCGGTAAAGTGGCAGTCCGATCTCTTTATGAATTTTGGATTTTCGTTTGGAAGGTTTTGAGGTGAAGATAAGTTGATAGATGTGTAGAGCTTCTCGCCACCTTTCTGTGGATATAAAGAACGTCAAAAACGGAGTTGAAACGAAGAAGTTATGGCCGTTTGAAGTTGGAGTAGTTCGGGTGAGTGATCGTGTAACATTCCAAAAATACAGTCTGAAAATTTCGTTTTAAGTCAGTAATAAAACCATATTCATCAAACGTCATATAAGAATCATAAACAATGTATCTCAAAACATCATAACAACTGTCAAATATATCAGAGTATAACCATCCCAGGCTGAACAAATGGTGTGTGCACTGCAATCTTTCCGAGCTCCTCTTTTGAAAACTGAGTACCTGAAACCAAAACTGAAAACTGTAAGCACGAAGCTTAGTTGAGTCTCCCCAACTACCACATACCATACAATAACATATAAAGCACATACTGGGCCTCGCCCACTGCATCGGACCGAAGTCCGGAAACTGCATCAGACCGAAGTCCGGAACTAACCAGGGCCTTGCCCTCTGCATCGGACCGAAGTCCGGAAACTACATCGGACCGAAGTCCGGAACTAACCAGGGCCTTTCCCTCTGCATCGGACCGAAGTCCGGAAACTACATCGGACCGAAGTCCGGAACTAACCAGCGCCTTGCCCTCTGCATCGGACCGAAGTCCGGAAACTCACTGACCGATAGCTAATAGCGCCTTGCCCTACTCGGCATAAACACATATACTGCATACTGCATCGGACCGAAGTCCGGAACACATAACACAAAGACGTGCTTGAATCACAAAGACATCGAGCACACTGAACTTACTGCATCGGACCGAAGTCCGGAACTGACTGAGCATAGAATAACATGATCATAACTACTAGCATCAACACATATACTGCATACTGCATCGGACCGAAGTCCGGAACACATAACACAAAGATATGCTTGAATCACCAAGACATCAAGCACACCGAACTACTACATCGGACCGAAGTCCGGAACTACTGCTAACTAAACGGGTCGGCATTGTGGCCGTAGACCCGTCCCTACTGAAAGGAAACTCACCTCACACCGCTGAAGTCCCGTAGACACAATCCCACACTACTGAAGTCCCGCAGACTCAACCCCAGCTGCTGGATGACAGATTCACGAACTGTCAACACCAAAATAACACCCAATTACTAATTGGGTTCTAACACATAACTATAAATGCATACTTTGGATAATTACTACATTACCCCTAGCTTGGCTTACCCAAGCCCAAGGCCCAATCCATAGGCCCAAAGTCAACTAGGGTTCAAAGCCCAACATACGGCCCAATTTTCCAAATTGGGCCCAAGCCTCTACATGGACTTCCCTTAAGGCCCAATTGATCAGTCCAGTCCAACATGTCTCGTTCTAGGGGCCCAATATCATACAACCATCTAGGCCCCAACTATGGCCCATCTATGGCCCAATTTTCCAAATTGGGCCCACACCCTCATATGGGCCTTACCTTAAAGCCCATTAAATTATTCTAGTCCATTTGCTTGTTCTTGGATGGCCCAACACAAAGCCCAAGTGAAATTAGGGTTTCACATAAAATGATAACTAGGGTTAAGTGTTTCTTACTTAACCCATTAAGGACTTAATCCATTAAGTCATTTACTCTACTAGATAAGTGATATGGAGTGATTTGGGCTTAATACACAATTCAATCCCAATGGCCCAAAAGTGGGTCCAATAAGTCCAAGGCCCAACTACTCACAATTAGGGTTTTCTAAACCCTAATAAGGGTTTCCACTCAAACATGGCCCAAAAGGCCCAAAATTAATCTTTAAGCCCATTAGGGTTTTGGCTAGGTCCATTAGGGTTTTGCTTGTGGGGCACCACCCACTACCACCCCGGGTAGTGGTGGTCAATGGCGGCTCGCGGCGGCGGCCACCACCTTACGGTGGTGGTTACTATTATTATTTTCATTATTTCATGCTAATTACAATTACAAGGCTTTTATCCAAAATACACACACTATATAATATACACACACTAACTAATACACACACACACACAGCCAGACCATGGTGGCCGGTGGTGGCTCATGGCGGCAGCCACCACCTCACGGTGGTGGCAGTGGCTTTTCCCGAGGATTCCGACTATACCAAGCACACTCAACACACACACTTCCACAGAAAACACACCCACACATAAGTCTTGCCCGGAACAGGAGCACCCCCACCCTCTTAGTGGCGTTTGGCGGCAGCAGGACGAACATAACGGAGGCAACATAGGCAGAAGGAGGCGGAGAAGGGAAGTTGCGCCTCCACCGGAGTACGACGCAACAGCAGTGGCGCTAAAGGCGGCGACCGATCTTGACAAGGCGGCTGGAGAATGAGAGGAGGAAGAGCGGCGGTTCTAGTGGTCGCTAACATCGGCGGTCAGCAGCCCTCGGGGCCCTAGACGTCTGGCAGTCTCGTTGAGGCGATACCCGGTGGTTACAGCGGTTTATGGCAATGAAACAGTGGAGCACAGGATAGAAGAGAGAAAGAGGATAGCGGGTTGCGCCGCAACATGAGGGAGGCAGCAGAGGCGGCGTCGCGACTTCGAGCTCCCGATCTTCCCTTGCTCGCACGCTGGAACCACGTTTGCTGCCTTCGTCGGCAGCAGGAGCAGCAGCAACGAACGGTCTCGCCGACACCCTGGTTCGCCGGCGGCTTGTTTGAAAGGACAGCCACGAGAGGATAGGGTGGCGGCCGACTTCACTCATGGCGGCTAGAAAAACTCTTAGGTTTAGGGTTACCAGGTGCGACAGGAGGAATACACGGGTTATATACCCAACTCTCAAACATAATTGCATAACAACATAATTAGTCCCTCCTTCCCCCATTCCTTACAAAGTAAATCCAATATTTACAATTTAAACCCTGAATATTAAAATCCATTACAACTTAAGTACAGAATTTACCAAACAGCCCCCCTATCTTCCATAATCTCTTCAGATGAACTCCCATAGTTCACCACTTAGTCTCTGCCTTCATAAATACTTACAAAACTAATCTGAATCTTATACTTTTAACCCTCAACTTCTAAAATTCTTCACAAATTAGTCCGGGACTTATATTTCTTAATTTATTTAAGTAAACGGGGCGTTACAGATCGTTAACTTATTGACCAAGCTCATTTAAGGCTCACGACGTGAGCAAGGAGTGCTCACGACGTGAGGAGCGTCTGATGCACTAAAACCCTAATTTTCGGGTATTTAAATGTATGAGATTATTAGGGTTACTCCTCCTCATCCTCTTTCACTCCCAAGACCTCTGGAAACCCTAATCCCAGCCCCCGTTGAAGTTCTTGGTCATTTTGGTGTTATTTGTGACAACCTGAAATTTCTGTCTTGTTAAGGTCAAACTTTTTCCTTCTATTATCTTAAGTTAGTTAGATTATTGGGTTATAAGTATATAAGCCTTATAAACTAGAGTGTTATGGGTTGGAGGGAAAAACAT